GGGCAATGCAGGAATTAGTAGGCTGATATACCACATGGGCTTTAGGCCACCAGAATATAGTCTTTGACTGGTCACACTGATCAATAATACTTATGCTTGGACTACACACTTTACATTCTAATCATAGAATCATAGAATGCTGTGAGTTGGAAGGGACCCACAAGAAACATCAAGTCCAATTCTTGCTCTAGCACAGGACAATCCCAAGATTCAGACCATGTGTCTGAGGGCTTTGTCCAAATGCTTCTTAAATATTGTCAGGCTTGGTGCTGTGACGACCTCCCTGGGGAGCCTGTTCCAGTGCTCCACCACCCTCTGGGTGAAGAACCTTTTCCTAATGTCCAACCTAAACCTGCCCTGGCACATTTTCTTGACATTTCCCCTGGTCCTATTGTTGGTGACCAGAGAGGAGCCCAGCACCTGCCCCTCCTCTTCCCCTTGTGAGGAAGTTATAGACTGTGATGAGATCTCCTCTCAGTCTCCTCTTCTACGGGCTGAACAAACCAAGTGACTTCAGCCTCTCCTCACACGGGCTCCCCTCTAAGCCCTTCACCAACTTTGTGTCCCTCTTCTGGACACTCTCCAGTAGCTTTATATCCTTTTTATCCTGTGGTGCCCAAAACTGCACACAATACTCAAGGTGAGGCTGCACCAGTGCAGAGGAGAGCAGGACGATCACCTCCCTTGACCAGCTCACCATGCAGTGCTTGATGCACCCCAGGACACAATGGCCCTCTCGGCTGCCAGGGCACACACTGTTGGCAATAGGTTCAATAGGTAGTTTTTACCAAGTGTAGATCAACAAGACAAAAGGATTTTCTTTGTTTTAAGCAGTACATTTAGAGGAATATTTTGAATAAAAAAAATGTTATTTTACCTTGCTAATTTTAAACACAGGAAACCTGCATTAAACAGGCATGAAGCAAAAGAAACTTAAGTTCTTTACCAACTCCATATAAGCTTCACTGTATGTGTGGAGGTGAAAAAACCAAGCACAAGTAACACGAGAATGTCATAAATCTGTCGCGACTGCAAAATTAAGAGACTCAGGAAATTTGTTCCAAGAAGCAACACTGCCATTTAATCCAGAGATACTGATTCAGATCCAGATGGTCTGTTCCCTTACCCTCACACTGCTAATTCCTGCCAATTCTGTCATATGAGTATTTTCAGATAGATCTGCTTCCAGTGAAACTCCCTTAAGAAGCTCACCCTGCCCATCTAGTTTACAGTACAGTGATCAACTTTGGGAAAAACTCTGATAAAAAGCTCCACTATAACACCCCTAACGTTCAAAGGGGGCATAATAGCAAACAAGTCAGGAAAAAAAAAACAACCTAGTACAGTTGTGTGCAAAGAAATAAAAAAGGGAAAAAAAACCCCCAGCAACAACAGACTTACCTATCATTCTAAAAAACCTAAATACTAATGCCTTTAGTACAGAGCCTGCTGTATGTCATGTACATCAAAGCACAAAGTTCTCCTTTTACTACAAGACACTGTCCACTAAATGCAAGATTAGCTGCGTCAGAGAAGATAACATTGCACCAACTTCG